TTACTGTTTTCGCGGCCTTCATTAAATACGAAGAAAAAAATTCACGTAATGTAATAACTGTCTTTGAAACAAAGTTCTCCACACGCAATATAATGGTGCTACCACAACTTCAAAAGTTCGAAGAATGTAATAACCAATAAATCTATTTTCAATCTCTTTTATCAATACATTAAATCCACTAACCATTGAAAATAAAGCAATGTTTGACGTGCACTCTAAGCTAGATAACTAGTTACTGCATTATCTTCTGTTGTCATTAACCTGTACACCACCTGGTGTTCATTAAACCATACAATTACATTAGTATCAAGTCCAAATCTCATGGCGCGTGCCTCGCTCATTCCTCACATATGAGGGTGTGTTCTAGCTTCGTTAAGGTCGCTGGAGACGCAAGGAAATGTTTCGTTACGGAAAGGTAGATCTAAAGTTTTCGTTTGTCCTCGTGGAACAGGAAATACACCCGACTAACAAGGATTTCTGCGTACCTGATCTAGGCTGTGTCGTTGTGTTGAAGGTGGGCATCACCTGACATGTCTGGATCTGGTCAGCTTAATTGACGTTCCCAGGTGATGTGCTCTACTGCGTTACCTTTCCTGTGAATTAAGAGGACGTTGTCGTAATAAACGGTTTTTAGTGGCTGACAGAGTGCATTTATGACTCTCCGAGGCCTAAATATTCTTCCTTATGAAGGTGGACCTTCAGTCTTCAAGTTAAAAATTACCATATGGGATCATCACATCGTGACTTATGACGAAGTTGAAACAATATATATAGAATATGTTTCCTTGTAACAAGGAAATAAATTAGTTGCAGGAACAATTAACATTACCACTTTGCTTGACGAATAAAAGTATTTATTAATCAGTACTAAGGTCAAAGCTTTTTTTTTTTAATACTTTACTCTCGTTCTTTTTTTACTGTCTATTTGGCTCATAGTAGGATAGTGCCATCTACCAATTTCTTCATTTCCTGAAGTATCGTTATCCATATACTTTTTGATAGCAGTTGACCTTGCTTTTTTTCAGGTAAAAATGTAACTTGTACTTTAATGTCCACTTTATACTCTCTGGCTGTTTTTAACCATATTTTTTGATAGTACAAGTTTGGGATGAATGGTAAAATACAAGTGATAGTGATATATTCAGAAGAATAATTTTATGTCAATTTGTGGCTTATTTTCAAAGGAATCAAGTACTTTATTAATAACAGTGGAAGAGAAATTGTTTTGTATACAAAACTGAAATTTAAGGTTTTCATTTTTTGAAACAAACGATGTTGGTACTTATTTTATTTGTACGAATAGCATCTTTAAATACCTGGTCTATGGCATGGGTCATGAAAGGAATTGCAAGGAAAATAAATTTCAGCGTGAGTATTCTTACGAAATACGGAGGTAGGAAGCCTGTGTTTGTCTTTTTAACAAGAACATTTATAAATGATAATTTGTCATCAACTTTTTCCATCGTGAATTTTGTGTTTAGGTGTATCTGGTTTAGATGACACAAAAACTCCTGAATATAAGGTTAATGTCATCGAAGGCTGAAAAACAAAAAGTCATTAACATATCGAAACCAAAAAAAAAAAAAGTTTATAAAGTGAATTTGAAATGGTAGTGTCTTCAATTCTTATCCTATATACACTGGCAAGTACTGAAACTACAAGGTTTCCCATACTTAGACCTTCAATTTTGATATAATTGACACCTTCAAACTGGAAGATTTAGCGCCAAGAAGATACAATTTTCTATAGTGTTGATGTTTAGGCTAAAACGAGGATTGGATTAGAATCGTTCTGGTGATATTCCAGGGCAGTATTCATTGGTTCAATGACGGGGACTTCAGTGAACATATGTTTTTCCAACAAATGTGACTAATTGAACAAAGTAACAAAATTCTTGCACGTTTTGATAACCATTTCATAATTTGTTATGAAGGAGGAAGCACGAGAAACATATTTAGAAAACATCCAAGCAAAGAATTGTCCTAGGTTGTAGTTGTAAGCTTTATATGCCAAAACAATAGTACGTAAGGGAAAATCAGGTTTGTGTGTTTTAGAGAGAGAGACCATAAATTTGAGAAGTCTGAGCGACAAAAAAATTGACATGTACCAGTAGAAAGTTGAGAAGTTCTTTCTAACTGTAAAATAAATTGTCTTAAGTTAGTTTCTATTTTTTGGAAATGAAATGATACTCGAGTAGTGTGTGTGTGTGTGTGTGTGTTTCTTTTGGTGGTACTCTACCCAATCCATGATAACAAGAATTACCTATGTCAGATTTCAGTAAAATTATACTTTCCTCACCTGTTAATAGTTTTAGTGCTTTTCGTTCTTTTGGGAAAAGGTTTCATTTTAGCAGTCTAGGCTTGTTCAAAAGATGCGTGAAAGAAAGTCATGAAGAAGAAGTAAAATTTGACTGTTTTCTTAAATTTTGAGAAAAGCCAGAATGAGTAACTGTAGGTTTCGGGGGAATATTGCTTTGGCTATTTAATAAACGTAAGACGTTATGAATAAAATAAAAATCTTACTATGTACAACCGATAAAAACTCGTGTGAATTTTAAAAACATGGTTCCTTCTGATGTTTAAAAAAATGTAGTTGTTTCCTCGCCAAAAACAAAAAAAAAGAGACTCGATACGAAGAACAAAAAGTTTTCTTTTTAAATTAATTGCATTTGATCTAATTTATATACTAAATTATGCTAGACTAATATGTCTTAAGATGCACAGAAAAATTTACACCAATTATAATATTAAAAATTTCATAGGTTATATTTACCATATGCTTTTGATAGCAGACAAAACAGACTGACGAGCTATACAGCTTGATCACAAGTAAGTAGACACCACTATTTCAGAAAAAAATGTAATTTTTTAGTCATATTCACATGAATTGATATATTTATAATTTAATTAATATCT